TCACAGAGCTCTTCAAGAATGCCAGGGCTACCCTCAGATATTGCTCACAGTTGTGGTGAAAGGTATCTCTTGTACCCTGCCAAGTGGGTGAGCAGGTCTTAAATGATGAATCTGCTCCAACAATCCAATCTCCCCAAGCCTTTGAATCCCTTCCTCTACATTACGCCAAGGCAGGTCAGGAATTTCTAACTCACTTTGGGGATTAGGATTTCAATATATAAACCTACGTAGAATGCACGAGCCACCTTTTTGTCCAGGCGTCCGCCAACCAACCAAATAAGACTGTTTGAATCCCTTCTAGCTCAGCTGCAGTGTTAAAGGCAGAATCTCTGCTTTGTGGGCCCTTCTCAGTAAATTCAGCCTGACCAATTTTATGTTCTTTATGTCGATATCTCATGCCCTTAATTCCATTGCCACATATGTTCCCCAGATTGTGTCTGTATAAATTAGAAAACTCGAGAAGTTCTTTTGAAGCATAGTATCCCCCTGCACTTTGTAACTCGCCTTTGGAGCCTGCTGGGACTTGAGTTTAGTTATAGGTCTAGAAGCAAAGAAGGGTGGTGTGGGTGGATCCTGAAGAGAATCTGCACTGTCCTGCAAAGGCAACTGACCCGGGGAGGCCATCACAGTTTCCTCTGGCAATGCAGGGTTAATCCCCTCAGATGGCGGTAAGGAGGATACTTGTACTGCAAAGACTCCGAAGAATTTCGGGGCAAAATGTCCTCAGCTCCATCAGGGTCTTCCCATGTGTCCTCATTCCAGCTTTCGGGATCCCATTCTTTCCAATGTGCTCACTTTAAAAGTAGAACTTTTCAAGGGTGGGAATTCAATGTGTGTTGTAATTAAGTCACTCGTGGAATGAGAGAAAACCACACAGGGAAATACATGGGAAGAGAGCACGGCAGGTGCAGAGGTAGAGGCAGATGTGCGGCCCACCCTCCACGTGTGCACATGTGTGCACACTCCACCCTGACACCAGGGTGGCAGGCTGATTTAAGAAAACAAAAAGATGGCAGTGGAATGGCTGTTAGGATGGTGTGAGCTCAAGTAACATGTCACTTCTTAGGTCTGCCTATTCAATCAGCTGTAGAGTAAGTAGGATCTTTTCCAATGCCACTTTTCAGTCTCCGGCATCAACTGGGTGTCCAGCAATTCAATTCAAATGTATTTTAACTATCTGGAGTTATTATAGACACCACAGGCTAAGGGCACAGTCCCATAAGACTGCCCCTTAATTCAGACACCAATTACAGATCCTCAGCCTTCCATACTTCCGGTTGGCTATAAATATAGAGTTCCCCTGGCTTCCTCCTCTAGATTGGTAATCTGCTAGAACGACTCCCAGAACTCAGGAAAGTGCTTGACTATAAGGGATACACCTCAGGAAAACCAAACGGAAGAGGTAGGTAGGGCAAAGTACAAGAGGTCATGGGACGCAAAGCTTCTGCGCCCTCCAGGTGTACCACCCTCCCGGCACTGCATGTGTTCACCAATCCAGAAGCTCACAGACACCATCATCTAGGGATTTGTTTTTTTTGAGACAGGGTCTCATTTTGTCACACAGGCTGGAGGGCCGTGGTGTGACCTCAGATTACTGCAGCCTCAACCTCCTGGGTTCAAGAGATTCTCCCTCCTTAACCCCGCCCCCAGTAGTTGAAACTACAGGCATGTGGCCACCATGCCCGGCTAATTTTTAAATTTTTTTTTGTTAAGATGGGGTTTGGCCATGTTACCTGGCTAGTCTCAAATTCCTGAGCTCAATAGATCTACCTTCCTTGTCCTTCCAAAGTGCTGGGATTTATAGGCGTGAGCCACGTGTCTGGGCTCATTTAGGGGTTTTTACCGAGGCTCTGCTCTGAAAGCATGATTGATTAAATCATTGGCCCTTGTTGTTAACTCTACCTGCAGCACTTTTCCCCTTCCTAGAGGCTGGGGGATAAGGCCGAGAGTTCCAACCTTCTACAAAGGCTTGGTCTTTCTGGTGACCAGGCTGTGTTTGAAGCTATCTAGGGATCTGCTAAGAGTCTCTTCATTAGAACAAAAGACACTCTTATCACACTATCACTCAATAAATTCCTGAGATTTAGGAGCTGTATGCCAGGACCTTGGGGCAAAGACCAAATCTCTTCCCCATAGCACAATCATACTAAGATTTGCAATCTAAGAAGTTTGAAGAGCTGTAGTCTAGACCAGTGGTGCTCAAAGGGTAATCTCAGGACTTTAGTACCATCAATTTTCTTGGGGACTTGTTAGAAATGAAGATTCTTGAGTACCATTCCAGATTACTAAATCAGAATCCTGGAGGTGGGGCCCAGAAATCTGTGTTTTAGTAAAAATGACTTCTATTCCCAGGTGATGCTGCTAAAGTTTGAGAACCACAGATGTAGATAAAACTGGCGGCCTTCTTGGTGCCCAGGAATCTCCACCCTCACCTGTGGCACCAGGAGCTGTGCCAGCCACTGCTAGCCAAGGTAGGTCCTTTGTCTGTCATTCCTTTGTCAGAGGCTGCACTGATCGTTCACCCACCGGGAGGTGGGGCCTACAGGGATGTGGAGCTTGGGCAATTTTTTACTGGAAGGCAGAGAATGGTCTAGGTTTTTACTACACAGTTTAGTCCTTTACAGTGGCACCTGCAAATGAGGCAGGGTGCTGTTGTGAGGCCTCAATGGTGTTCGTAAAATGTCTAACACCATGCTAGATATAGAACAGTCACTTGCTATATGTCGGTGGTAGCTGCTGTACCTGACATTTCCTATCACAACCATAATAGATGTTCAGTTGATAGGAGTGATTGTTAATTGGTTCACTGGAGAAGGAAGCAGGCTTTTCCAGCTTGTTCCTCTGATTTTGCCAGCCAAGATGTCTTAGTCTGTTTTGTGCTGCTGTAACAGAACACCATGGACTGGGTAATTGATAATGAACAGAAATTGCTTTGGCTCATGGTTTAGGGGGCTGGGAAGTCTAAGATCGAGGGACTGCACCTGGTGAGAGCCTTCATGCTGCATCGTAACATGGTGGAAGGCATCACGGGGTGAGAGGAAGAGAAAAAGGGACCAAACGCATCCTTTTATCAGGAACTGGCTTCCAGCTAATGGCATAATTCATTCATGAGGATGGAGCCCTCATGACCTAATCGCCTCTTAAAGGTCCACTTTCTCAATGCTGTTGCATTGAGGATCCAACACATGAACTTTTGGGAACACATTCAAACCACAGCATGAATAGGCATAAGAGATCATAATTAGGGAAGGTGGGAGGGTGGAAAGGAAGAAGACAGAAAGGATGTCAGTATTCACAAAAGCAATAGAGACAATGACCATTTTCTTGGAAGAACAAGGAGGTTTGGGCTATTGAACACTATGTGGTCATTTCTTAGACTTCTTTTTTTTTTTTTTTTGAGACAGAGCCTCACTCTGTTGCTCAGGCTGGAGTGCAATGGCTGATCTCATCTCACTGCATCCTCTGCTTCCTGGGTTCAAGCAATTCTGCCTCAGCCTCCCAAGTAGTTGTGATTAACGGTGCCCACCACCGCACTTGGCTAATTTTTGTATTTTTAGTAAAGACAGGGTTTCGCCATGTTGGCCAGGCTGGTTTCAAACTCCTGACCTCAGGTGATCCACCCTCCTTGGCCTCCCAAAGTGCTGGGATTACAGGCATGAGCCACTGCACCCAGCTGGTCATTTCTTTTTAATTCTAGTTATAGGATTTCAGAGCTGGAAAAGGGAAGTTGGAGGTCACAGAGCTACCTTCTTACTGCCCAGGGGAAGCAGTAAAGGCCCTGAGAGAGCAAGTGTTCGAGATTACAGCAGAATTAGTTTCCAAGGATAGGTACTGCCTGCAACATCTCACCATAACATGGGCCGTTATTTGACATGGAAACCTTTGAAGACTGTGAAAGTACCAAAGATGTGACCAGCACTGTGAGTGTGATTTATTTCCTTTCTCTTTTTGTTCTCATTCTTATTTGTAAGCTCCTCCTCCCTCTGTTCTCTTCTCCATTCCTTCTCTTCTTCATTTTCATGATTCTTATCCATAAGGACCTGGCCTAAGCCAGAAAGCTGTTACCGGATCTTCGAAGTGACCCTAATACTCCCAGCCCAGCACACCCCACGTCATTGTTTTCTTTACAAGGTGCTGGTTTCTGCTGATGAAAACTCACAATTGGCTCTGACTGGGCACCAGGGTTCTGATTACTCTCAATAGGAAACACGTCATTTGGTTCCTTGAAAATACTTGTGATCCTTGAATAGCCAGAAACCACCATGTAAACATAATTCAAAAGCTGCCTCCCCTCTTGTGGTTCTTTAATCCTTTTTTTCTGAGATGGAGTCTCACTCTGTTGCCAGGCTGGAGTAAAATGGCACGGTTTTGGCTCACTGCAACCTCTGCCTCCTATTTAAGCAGTTCTACTGCCTCAGCCTCCTGAGTAGCTGGGATTACAGGTTCGTGCCACCATACCCAGCTAATTTTTGTATTTTTAGTAGAGACGGGGTTACGCTGTGTTGGCCAGGCTGGTGTTGAACTCCTGACCTCCCAAAGTGCTAAGATTACAAGTGTGGGTCACCACGCCCGGCCTTTTAACCCTTTTTTAAATCTCTTGCAAAAGGTGGCTGTGAAAATGGTTGCTCTGTGGCCGAGGACGATGGCTCACGAAGGTAATCTCAGCAATCTGGGAGGCAGAGGCAGACGGGTCGCTTGAGCCCAGGAGTTCGAGACCAGCCTGGGCAACATGGTGAAACCCCATCTCTAAAAAAAATTAAAATAAAATAAAAGGAAAGGAAAGAAAAAATCCTTGCTCTGCTTTGCAGGCAGAGTGCAAAGTGCCCAACTTCACAGGAGGAAAAACCTTTCTACAAATCTCATGTTACAGATAAACGTCATTTCTCAACCACAGCCCACACATTACAGAAAGCATTAAAAAAATGTCCTCAACCCCGTGGGATGGGTGGCTATTCCCAGAATTTGGATCCAGGGTGTTCACAGCTTGGCTTTTTACATACCGAAGAGGAAAGAGATGGCTGAAAACATCCGCATGGGTGGTCCCGGCACTCTGCCGGCTGAGTATTCAGGGACTCCAGTTGTAGAAAGGATTGGGGGACAGCCTGACCGAATTCGCATTTGCTCAGGCGTTTCCCGTGGAGCTCTGCTAAACTGGGGCTAGTCTTTTGCTGCCAGTCAGAAAGTTTCTGCGCCTACCTAGGGAAACCACGGGATAATGGGCTCATGGGGAGGAGGACCGGCATAGAGGATGCGCCGCAGCCTCTCCAGAAGGTAGTACTAGCGCGCCCAACTGGTGACAGACGGAGCGGTGGCCAGGGCGCAGGTGCGGCCAGCGGAGGCGAAGAACCGCGTGGGACAACCCCAGTGTGTGGGGGGGAACACACGCCAGCCGCCCCCTGGTCAGGAGCTGCGGCCTGCAGCGAGGCCTCACCCAGCCTCGCGCCCCGGGTCCTGCGGGATGGCAGCACCTCTCAGGGTCAGCCCGCTTCTCTCCGCGGCTCCTCAGCAGACACCGCGCGGGAAAGGAGGGGCGGAGACCCGGCCGGCGCGTGTCTGGGGATCTTAACCCCGGTGCGGCTGGAGCGCCTCCGTCGCTGTCTCCCCGCCCCACGGTTCCGAGGAAGGACCGTGAGGAGCCCCCACCCCGGGGGCTGGAGCGCGGGCTCCCCGCAGGGAAAGGGGCGCTGCGTTCCCGCCCCCAAAACGGGCGGCGGTTGGGCGCGTGCGTGCCTCCGCGAGAGCCCCCAGCTGCCCCAGCGGGCGGGAAGAGGTGGGCGTGGGGGCTGTGGGGCGTGTGGGGCGTGAGGCGTGCGGCGCTGGGGCGTGGGGCGTGGGGCGTGCGGGGCGTGCGGCGCCGGGGCGTGGGGCGTGCGGGGCGTGGGGCGTGCGGCGCCGGGGCATGGGGCGTGCGGGGCGTGAGGCGGCGCCGGGGCGTGGGGCGTGGGGCGGGAGGCGCCAAAGTGTGGGGGGCGTGGGGCGGGCAGTGCCGAGGAGCCGCTACCACCTGCCGTTATCCCTGCGCGCGGCGGGGCTTCCCTCACCCCCCAGTCCTGGTAGGCGGCGCCGGAGACCCAGGGGCCGAGACCGCGAATCTGGAGTCCGCGGCGCTCGCCCGGCCAGGCTGGCGACTCGCTTCGTTTTGCAGAGCGGCTGCTCCCCTCCCGGTCCAGCTGCGACGCTAGGAAAGCGTCAGACTCAGTCTGTCACGGGAGCCCGCGCGTGGCGTGACGAGGGAGAGCTGGGCTCGGCGGCGAGGGACTCGTTTCGTGCCTGGAGAGGCAGGAAGAGGGCGCGGGCAGCGCATCCTCGGGCGGGGACGCCCTGAAAACAGCCACCGCAGCGGTGGACACAGTTTGTTTGGCTTTATTTGTACGGAGTGCATTTTCAGTGACGTGCGGTCTTGCTTCAAAGAAGAAATGCCCCCCCAAGAGCTCAGCCGGCGACTGGCCGCAGTGACCACGCATGTCGGTAAACGAAGCTTTCATTTTACCTGCGTTGTATGAATGGCGGGTGGGGACCTGGTCTCTGGGCTGTGTCTGGGCCTCGCCGCTCCGGGTCCTGCCTGCGGCGCCCAGCGGGGGGGCATCCTGGGGCGCGCCGCTGGTGGGGGTCGGGGGTCCGAGGCAGGCGCCTTCGCCAGGTGGTTGCCGAGTCCGCTGAGCCCCAAGCCCAGGGCTGCTGGGCTGTTAGCATCCGTCAGCTGCTTAGCACTGGAGTGGAGTGGGTGGGAAGTTACGATCTGCTTTGGGGGTTACTGAGAAAGGAGAGGGCATAAGAGGAACGAATGCCGATGCATTACGGCTTGTGTATAGGAAAGTGCAGGGAGAGGCAGGTTTCATGGGAGGGCCCTGCGCAGCCGGGCCCCAAACCTGTTACTGTGCTGCTTGGAGGGGTCAGGACGCCCCTGATGATCCCCTTGAGAAACCTCTGCAAGCCAGAGAGGCTGAACAATTTTAATCCTCTTCCCTGAGTTGAAAAGAGGAGCAAAACATGCGTTCCTTACTCCTGAAGGGTTGTGATGGACCGTCAGGCCCCGCAGACTAAGGGAAAAGGGACATCGAGAGAGTTCCCAATCAGCTCTTTCTTATCACTTCCCCCCTCCCCACGCCTTCTCTGGACCTCACTCAGTAAAAGCGCACGTTCAGTTTGAGAACCTTTGGATGTGGGCCACCGGAATTATGGGGATCATTTTCCCTCTTGCTGACTGCACTTAGAGGTCCTCCCGTGAATGCAAATCAGCTTTTATTGATAAAGCCAGGAAATATTTGCCTTCATTTTCTACACATTTGTTAAAGCTGCTTTCTTGGTGTCTGCATGTTAAATGTTGCTTCATAGCTGGACGTGGTGGTGCACGCCTGTAGTCCCAGCAACTCAGGAGGCTGAGGCAGGAGAATCGCTTGAACCCGGGAGGCGGAGGCTGCAGTGAGCCGAGATCGCGCCACTGCACTCCAGCCCGAGCAACAAGAGTGAAACTCTGTCTCAAAAAAAAGAAAAGAAAAAATGTTGCTTCATAATTATGCAGATCTCAGATACACTTGTAAGGACATAGTTTGTAAAGATAATTTATATGGGAAGTCCCAGTTTTGATCATTCAGTTTTAGGAAAAAGTTTCTAGTGCCAAATGTGGACACTGAACTTTTAAGACAAAAGACCAGTCAGATTCTACCAGGTAAAGCTGAATGTGAAATATGGCTGAAGGCAGTGATAAATAAGAGGGAAAAGAAACTTTTTTTTTTTTTTTTGAGATACTGTTTCACTCTTGTCGCCCAGGCTGGAGTGCAATGGTGTGATCTCGGCTCACTGCAACCTCCACCTCCCCAGTTCAAGCGATTCTCCTGCCTCAGCCTCCCAGGTAGCTGGGATTACAGGCACGCACCACCATGCCCGGCTAATTTTGTATTTTTAGTAGAGGTGGGGTTTCACCATGTTGGTCAGGCTGGTCTCAAACTCCTGACCTTAGGTGATCCACCCACCTCGGGCTCCCAAAATGCTGGGATTACAGGCGTGAGCCACTGTCCAGCTAAGAACTTCTAATGAAACTGAATTTGGAATTTGAAATATGATGAAAGCTGGAATGATTGTGCTGAAACCCAGCACGTGTGTACAACTGTGGTATAGGGAAAGAGCAGTGGGCTGGTGGCATCCTGGATTCTAATCCTTCCTGGGACAAGTCATTCAGCCTCAGGTTGAAAAATGGGAATTTTAATACTTCCCTACCCAGCTCAAAGGCTACTGGTAAAGATAAGTGAAATAATGTGGCTAGAAATACTGTGTGCACCATGACTGTACATACATTCTGGTTATTGGACATAGCCTGGGTCCCTCTGTCACGCTCTAAGATCTTTGTTGGTTCCTGGGCCTCCCTCGGGGTGAAGCCTCCTATCTGTTAAAAAGGAGGTTGACCTGGATGATTTTCAAGGACCCTGCTACTTCTCTGGAGCAGGCTCTTCTGGAAATCTGGCAGGCATTCCTTGACTGACGCTCAGCTGCCTATGTGCCCCGGCTGTGGTGTTTTCTTGCCTACCTTGCTCCTCCCTCCTTCCAAGGCAGCTCCATGCAGAATACACATATGAATTTGCTGTAGTTTCTGCTCTCAACTTCTAATGACCCTTGGCTTCATGTGCTTTGCAACATTGTGTCTCCTCATACTTAATCTACTAAAACCTGTGAAATGGGTGGAGTACTCATTACCTCTTATTATCAGATCTTACAAATGAAATCAGATCCTACAACTCATTATTAACAGATCATATAAATGAAGGAGTTGACTCAGAGAGGATCATCTTTTAAGGTTTCAGGGGGAGTGAGTGGCAGGCTCAGGCCAGAAGGAAGCTCTTCATATGTCCTGTTGGGGGATCTCAAGGTGGAGGGGGCGTTTCTCTAACCCTGCAACAGCCTCTGCCTTTACGGAGGGTCGCCTTGAGTAGCCAGGGAGCTTCTCAAGGGTGGATTGGCTCTATGCTTGCCTGTTCATTTCAGGCATTTCCTTATCAAGTAGCTTCTGAGGAGGCGACCATGAGTTGGGGAAGGTTTGAGAGGTGCTTGCAGCAAGGCTTTGGGTTAGAACGTTTTCCTGGTTCTGTCCTAGCCACTTGCCAGGGTGGCCACACTGTCTTCTGTATTCGTGGGCTCCTCTGACCCTGAGTCTGTTTCTCCCCCAGCAGGCATTTCTGCTCTTTCCACATCCCTTAGACTTGATCACTCAGTCATCCTTCGCTACCCACTCCCATGTTTCCGTAAGTGTCTTGGGTGCTGTTGATTCAGTTTCTGACATACCTCACAGCATTCTTTCCTCAGTAGTCCATTTCCACTACTACCTGCCTCTTTCCCGCTTCGGGACTTCATTTCCTAACTCACCACTGTGCAGACCTGTCTCTGTGTCTGCCTCTGATCGATACTACGAGTCAAACAAACATGGCACTCTGTACGCCAAAGCCTTTAAAAATACCTGCAGCTCGCCGTTCTCCGCTGCCTGAGATGCAAGCTCTTCACTGTTTGGCCTGTAAAGTTCTGGCTTTATCCCCTAATACCGGAGATGTCTATGCCTCTTGTTGGTCAGCTTGACCTCTTCAGGTCTTTGGCTCAGTCCCTTTGGCTCTGTCTGCTTTCTAGGTCTTTTCTCACCTCTGAGTATTTCCCCTTCTTTTTATCTCCACCTGACATTGTTGTAACCGAGCGAGTTAGAAGGAATGTGCCACACACTGAGTTCCAAATCAAGAGTCCTTTTTTAATTAGCCAGCAACTGAGAGACGGGTAATGCTCAAAATTCTCTCGGCCTGAGAAAGAGGCTTGATTGTCTTTTATACCTTGATTTAGGTACTGGAAGGGGAGCCTAGCTGAAGCGGAATTTTTCAGAAGCAGAGAAGCAGGTTAGAGGAAGGGGCTGTGGGCACAGGTGTCACCAAGAAGGGGGGTGTTCAGGCTCCTTCTACACAATGATCAAAGGGAAATTTGTTTCTTAAAATAGCAGGGGGTGGGGTATGCCAAGGAGGATTCGGTTACAGTGGTTACAAGTGTTAGGAACAGTACGCTTCAACACTTCTAAGTGCAGCATGACCCAGTTATGTACTCAGAGGGGCTGTGGTAGGGAGGGGGAAGCTAGGCTGGAGTTTACAGCTAAGATGGAGTCAGTGATGCTAGCCCAGGGTAGGTTATTACAGAATAAGTCTTTAGTGTATTTCTCCTCACAGAACCAGTAAACACCTTTGAAACCCAGTGCAGTGCCATCTCCTTCATGGTGTCATTTCTCATCTTGCTGGTGGGACATGACGCCTGACTCTGAATTCCAAAGTAAGCTTTGTTCTGCTCACGTGATACCTCCCATACTCTCCCCTGTATTATGATTGCTTGGTTGTGTGCTTATTTAACCTGCTCTGCTTCTAGACTCTTCATTACTTCTCTGTGTACCCTAGGTACCCACTTAACACAGGGCCTCACTCTCAGGAGATGCAGAATAAACGATCGCTGAATAGATGAATGATTGTGTTTTGGAATGGAGCTGGGGTATTGAGTACTAGGCAGTCTTTACACTTTTAAGGACAGCTATATTTGTAGGTAACTATTTTGTCTCCAAAACCCCATTTTAAAGCAAACATGCAGCCCTTTGTGTGTTCTTCATGTGATGTGCTTCACTGGAGGGTTCTCCTTCTTTGGATTTTGTCCATTTGTCAGGAACCCTTATAAAATATGTGATTCACATGTGAACAGTGTCTAGATGTGTTTTTATCCGTGCAGGACACATGTAGGACCATCCTTTCCCCTTTATTCTGCACCATAGAGTCACATTGGTTTACAGAATTTCAGTGTCAGAAGAGTGTTGTTTGATTTTCCCCATCCTATCCTTTTCAGTTGTTGAAATATCTGCACCTTTTGCTGTACCGCTGTTTGTATGTGGAGGTGCTATCTGAGTAACCTGGACTTTCTAGGCATCTCGGATTGCTTTAGGATTTTGATAGGGCTCGTACGGCTCACATGGGGGCTCCAGTCACTGGAAACCCATAGTCATCAAGATGGTCCATGTCAGTAACTCCCCATAGAGGTTTTGCGTTTCCAGCCTGGCTCGCTTTCCACCTTGCCCCCTCATATCAGAAGCAGTTATTTTACATTTCGATCTTATCATTGTTCTAAAATGACTTTATATGTTTGGCTACACCCAATTAACTGTGAAGCATCAAAGAATTCCTTATGTAATTGGAGATTGGGTTGGTGGCTATTTTGGTAACAGAGGCTCTGATCTGTAACCCAGGTTGCTACTTTTGGGACACAGTCAGCATTGATAACATGTAGCCAGAAGAATACTAAACTGAGACAATCAGCCCGCTGCTCATTGTTATACAATGGAGTTAGCAGCTGAAATGCCTAGGGTCCATGCCTCAGCTGTTGATACTGAAAAAATAGTCTAATTAGAGTGGGGTATCTGCTCCTCAGGTGGGAATGTGCCCAGTGGGGATGGCTGGACATGTTCCCCC